AGGGTGGCGGGGAGGGAAGTAAATATTTGTAAAAGTTTTTTTTTTTTTTCAAAATTTCCATTAAAAAAAAAGAACCCCAGCAGAAACACTTAAATATATTTCACTAGAGCTCCCCGTGGAGATTCGGACCCTCACCACCCTCCAGGCTTTCCGCAAAGCCCTTAAAACCTGGCTGTTCCGACAGGCCTGGGGCTAAAGAGTTTTTGCCCCCCTTCTCGAATGGTATGGTTGTTGTGTGTTTTTAAAATTGTGGTATTGTTTGTCCATGTCTTTTTTTCCCTATTTGTATCCCCTATCCCCCCCCCCCCTTGACTTGGGTTGTGAGCCGCCCTGAGTCCCTTCTGGGAAAAGGGCGGCATAGAAATATAATAAATTCAATTCAATTCAATGTGTTGAATATTTTGACAGTCAAGCCATTTTGTGGTTTTCCCCCCAGGTTGCTGGAGACTGACAGCAAATCATTGAGATCAGTAAATGGATCAAGAAGAAACAGTGGCTCCTCACTTGTGTCTAGCTCATCGGCTTCTAGCAATCTTAGCCATCTTGAAGAAGATTCCTGGATCCTCTGGGGGAGAATAGTAAATGAATGGGATGATGTACGCAAAAAGAAAGAGAAACAGATTAAGGTTTGTTGAGTGTTGTTATTCAGTATTAGGGTTTTTGTTATGGGAAAAATAGTAGAAGGAAGGTGTATTGGCTATGTTTGCTGCCTTCAATGATTTGTAAGAATAATAAAGGCAGGATGCAAAGAAGAATAAAATAAATAAGACAACAATAATGTAAGAATTTTAACTATAGTAAATCATCTGGATTTACATCTGGAAAGCCGAGGTGGCGCAGTGGTTAGGGTGCAGTACTGCAGGCCACTTCAGCTGACTGTTATCTGCAGTCCAGCAGTTCTAATCTCACCGGCTCAAGGTTGACTCAGCCTTCCATCCTTCCGAGGTGGGTGAAATGAGGACCCAGACTGTGGTATGCTGACTCTGTAAACCGCTTAGAGAGGGCTGAAAGCCCTATGAAGCGGTATGTAAGTCTAACTGCTATTACTATTGCTATTGCTATCTGGTTTGCATTTAGCTGGTGTTTTTTTTTTAAAAGAAAATCTAGGATTATTGGGTAGATTTCAATTTTCACAACCTTGTAGAGAGTTGCAAACTTTGTCCATAAGGAAAGCTCATCAGAATTTTAAATACATATATATTTTACTGCTTTAGGAACTTGTTCGAAAAGGGATACCACATCACTTCCGAGCAATAGTGTGGCAACTTTTGTGCACAGCTCAAAATATGACAATCAAGGATCAATATTCAGAACTCTTGAAAATGACTTCGCCTTGTGAAAAGCTCATAAGAAGAGATATTGCTAGAACATATCCTGAACACGACTTTTTTAAAGAAAAAGATAGCCTTGGGCAGGAAGTTTTATTTAATGTCATGAAGGTAAGTTAGCAATCTAATGTCTTCATGAATAATAAAGAGGTTTACTTCCTCCATATAAATATTATTGTTAATGCTCATTTACTTCTGAATATTAGATGCTGGAGATGAGGAAAAGGCTTTGTCAAATCTAATACCCAGTCTTTGCTGATGCAGTATTCGAGAATCTTTCAATCTTGTTGAGGGATTCTTGTTTTAGGGTGTATAATTAATAAAGCACAGTGATTTGCCTTGCTTTTCTGTACCATGTGGGTAATAGCTAAGGAAAGTATTTATGGGACATTATTATAAGACTTCCTTAAACTTCACTAAAAATGAGGCGGTAATTGTTTTGGACCAGGAGTAGAAAAAAGGTTGCTTGGTGTTAGGTGCTCATCCAACTAAAGTCAGATGCAGGATGTACACATCTCTAGGGCAATGTTTCTCAGCCGTGTCAATTCAAGAAGTGTGAACTTCCAACTCTCAGAATTCCCCTAGGCTGAGATTGAGAAACACTGTACTAAGAAGATGTCATTCCAGGGGTCAGTCTCTGTGATACAGTGGGCTCATTTTTTGGATCCTACCTGGTTGGTGGACACTGATGGATCATATCGGACAAGCAGCAACTAGAGGTTTAGAGGTTTAATGAATTTATAGGCCACCCAATCCCAAAGGACTCCAGGCGGCTTAAAATACATAAAAAAAAAAAATAGAAAGTTAAAAACACAGAGACATAGATTTTTAAAAAAACCACAACATACACCCAGTCTAATCGGGGCTGGAACTCAGTCATGAGTTCAACAGCCCGGGGCCTGCCGGAATAGCCAGGTCTTAA